GACCTTCCTGGCTGGCCGTGCTGGTCGGTCGCTGCGCTTTAGTGCGGATCTTGTCCGTCCGACTTGCTTCGCTCGGGTGTCCCTATGTGGAATCCGGGGGGGGGGGGGCTGGTTGATGTGGCTGTGCTGTGTCGGGGTGATTGCTGAGGGGATCGGCATCCGTGGCGGCGTTCGCGGCGATGCATCTTCACCGTCGTTGCTCAAGTCGATGAGTATGGCGGATGTGGGTTGGGACCCTCTTGATGCAAGCTCGTGCTGTCTGGCCTCGGGTGGGGCGGATAGTGGTCGAACCTCTGGGCATACAGTGGTTGCTGCAGCTGGAGTCGTTGTTTGAGCTGGTGGTTGGTGCCCGGGTGGAGTTGGTTGCTCAGTAGGTATGGGTGTTGAATTGACTCGTTGCGTTGGGGTGAAGATTCGGGAGTCGGCTAGGTCAGGGTCTTCGTGAATATCGGGGATGGGGGTGAAACTGCCGTCGTAGCCGTCGTCGGCGATTGGTGTCGGTGCTACGCTGCCGTCGAGCTCGTCGCTGTCGTGGGTCTTCTGATCGGACGTGGTGGGTGTGTTGTCGGCAAGTGTGCTCATGTCTGGGCGTAGTGCCTGAGGTTGTGCCGTCGTCGGGTTGGGCATTGGTTGCAGTGGAGTCGGTGTGGAGGAAGGAGGCGCTGGCGCGACTCCCAGCTCTATCAAGCTGAACTCGCTGTCGGTAGTCGATTGCGCCCTGTGGTCCAAGTGCGTGTTCTGCTCCATGATGGCCAGCTGCATAGCGTAGGGCTCGATGTCTGGGCGCATCTCGTCGTGGGGTCCTGGTAGTACGGCTTGTAAGCATTGTGTCGTCTCGCGTTGGGCCTCCTTCTCCATCTCGCCTGCAAGGTGTTGATCGCGTCGTCGGTCGTCCTCTGCTTCGCTGAACTCGCGCAGTAGATCCATGACCGCCTGGCGATCCATCTCCTCGCGGGTCTTCTCGGCAGTGGCGATAGCTCCTTCCAGTTGTTGCTGCTGTCGTAGGTGCCGCGCGCGTTCTTCTTCCACTGTGAGCTGGGCTTTGGCTTGATGCTCCTCGTAAGCGATCTGCTGCTGGTAAATGTGCATCTCATTGTGCGGTGCCTCTTGGTGCTGCCATCCCTCGAACTTTTGGAACTGCTTCTTCTGGGCCTCCGTGAACTGCGCTTGCATTTCACCGTGGACTTCAAGTACTCGCTCTTGAACGTGTGCTCGTTCTGCTTGTTGCATTTCGGCCCTCAGGTATCTCATGGTCTGGTAATGCTGCTGCTCCATCTCGCTCCGGCTCTGGGAGTACATGGCCTGGAGTTCTTCGGCTTTGTTATATACTTGCTGCTCCTGGCGTTTCATCATCTCTTTCTTCCGCTCGTCATGTTGAGCCTTCGCTTCGTGGATATTCTGCCTTTCTGCCTGAAGTTCAGCTCTGTGATGCTGTTGTAGTTCGCATAATTTAAGATGCAGTGGATGCCGTTCTTGATGAAGTCCTTCTATTTGTTCGCGGATCTTGGCTTCGTGGTGCTTGCTCTGCTGCATCTCAAGGTGTCGTTGAGCTGTTTGTTGTGCCTCCTCGTTCTTGTTTACTTCGGCTTCTCGCAGTTCAGCTCGCACTTGTGCTTTGTAGCTTTCCGCTTCCTTTTGGTGCGCTTCTTCCTGTCGTTGGAGGGCGTTCGTCGTGGTCCTGGGTACCTTTTTCTGCTGCCTCCTGCTCGTGGTGCTCAAGTTTGATCTTCATGGTCTTCATCTTCTCACTCATGCTCCTGATCTCGTCGCGCTGCTCAGCATTATTCCTGCTCTGCTCCTGCTCCATTGCCTTCTCGTGCTGCTGGTCCTGCATGTCGATCCTTTTGCGGATGTCGCTGATGAGCTTGCTGATGTCGTCTTTGTCGTGGTGCTGGTCGTTGTGGCGGCTCGTATGCTGTGCTTTGCTGTCGGTCGGTTCGTCTTTGGCGGTGACCTTCTTGGGATGTGGCGTTCGCCCTCTCATGCCCTTCGGGGTCTCCTCGCCTTCTTCGTCGCCGTCACAGCTGGAGTCATCCAGTTGTTCTTTCATTCCCCTCATTTGCTTGGACTCGTTGATCAGGGCCTTCAGGGCACCAGTGTTCTGGTCGATCTGGTCGCTCTCGTTGTCGAGGTCCTTCATCTGCTGGCTGATCTCGTTCTTGCGCTTGGTCTGCTGGTCGATCTCTTGCCAGTAGCGGTGGATTCGCTGGGCAGGCTCAGTAAGCATCGCGATGGTGGCCTTGGTGATGGCGATCTCGTTGCAGAGCTTCGACGGATCAACCTGCGCCTGCTGCGCTCCCATCACCTGGTCCGCGAGCCCCCCGAGCCTGTTAACCTTCGTGGTGAACTATACCTTCTTGATGTCGTCCTCCATCGGGGGGTACGAGAAGCTCTCGTGCTCCTTAGCCACCTGCCTCAGCGCTGGGGTGATGGGTTCGATGATCGCGATCTGCTTCTTCGTCAAGTGGAGCATGTAGTTGGTGAAATCGTCGGCTACGTTGGATCTGCTGGCACCTTGGTTGCTCCTTCGTCGTCTCGAAGCGTTCCTGGATGCGCCGCCTCTCCAGTTGCCGTTGTCCTTCTGGTGGTTCTTGCCGTTGTACTCGTTCTGGTGGTAGTAGTCGTTCTGGTAGTTGTGGCCGTAGTAGTGCGTACTTTTCCATGTCGGTGTTCCTCCTGTTGACTTCCCTTTCGAGTTTGCTCTCCATGGCCATGGCTAGCCGCCAACTGGAGGACCCGTCGCCATGATGTCCTGGTTGTGCTGCTGGATGCGCTGCTGCTGCTGCTGGGGCTGCTGCGCGCTGTGGTGCCGCTGCAGGAGGTCCTGCGCGGCAGCAAAGCGGAGGAGCACACGAGCTCGTGCCCTGCGCTCACGCTCTCGCCTGTGCCAAGCGCCATCCTTGGGCGTGGCTGCAGCTGGTCGCGGCCTCCGCGGCCGCAGTCCTGCGGCTCGGGCGGCACGCCTGAGCCCTGGCCGTTAGGGGGTGGCCGCCGCGGCGGCGAGGGGGCGACGACGGACGGCCCCTGCGCGGCGGCGGGCGGGAGCGGCGGCCCCCCCCCCACTCCTCGGCCAGTGGCTTCCTCCTTCTCCTCCTCCTCCGCCTCCTCCTCCTCCTCCTCCTCCTCCTGCTTCTCCTCCTCCTCCCCCCCCCCGTCCCCAGCCTTCCTTGAGGCAGGGCGGCCCCTGGCCTCGGGCTCCTCGGGACACCTGCGGCACCCCTGCTTGGAGAGTTCGGGGAGCTAAGGGAAGGATTTCGCTCCAGGCTTTTTCTCACACAGTGGTCCAGGTCCAGATCCAGGACAACTTTTCACGCACGTTGAGGCTCCAAGGCAACGCCCAGGGTCAAGTCCGGATTCTCGATCTTCTCAGGCGGAACTTGGATTCCATGGCCCATGGGAATTGATGTTTTTTCTTTCCGATCTCAAATGGGTGCAGCCCCACGTGCGTCAGCCACTCTGCATGGCTTCTGCCGTGAGCCTGAGGCCACCAGCGCCGCCCCCCTTGGGCGCGTGCCTCCTCTGATCGGGTCTCCTCCTCCGCGGTGTGCGCATGTCGTCGTGATCTCGAAGGCATCGTGATCTCGCCGACATTTTCGCAAGCACCACGACGACGCATTCGATCTCGACGTGTGCATCATCCAGGAGGGAAAAACACACAGACACAATGAATCGTCGATTCCCAGGAAAAGATGGGAGAATATGGGGAATCCGGTTATTTATGTGTATTTACTTGTGTGTCCTTGGGCCCCTTCAATCATCGCGTCCTCCCTCAGCGGCCGCCGCTCGACCTGAGCCGTCTGCGCGGGCGCAGTCGGCTACCGCGCGGCCGTCGCCGTCGCCGTGGCCCCGACCGCGCCAGGCACCCCCCCCCTGGGCTCTGCGACCCAGAACCTTGGCATCGTTCGGACGTGTGTATTTTCCCCTCGATGAGAAACACCGAGGAGCATCTTGGGTCACCCTGCGAGAAAAGCAACTCGCTCGAAACCGACAGGTGCACGTGGAATGGGCGTCGGAACGAGGGCAGGCGACAAGTCACCCCAGTGCGTGGTTTTCCCCTGGGTCAGCTCCACCGATGGCACGCAGCCTGTGTCTTTAGGCCTCCCGCATGTGGTCGGAGCCGATGGGGTCGGAGGGTCGAGCCGCATCGCCGATGCATCGGCGATGCGGCTCGATGCGTGACCCGATGCTCCACGCTGGCGTCGCTGATGCACCGCTCACGCCGCCGATGCATCGTCGATGCATCGGCGATGCATCGCCGATGCGGCGCGATCCTCCGACGCCGCCTACTCGGACGCCATCTGGGAGGCCTCTGGTGTCGGCCCTCGTTGTACTGCCTGCGTCGTGTTCAGGGCCTTCGGTGGACGAGCACACGCTGGCGCCGGCTTCCGTTCTGAGGATCGTCGAGCCGGGAGCGCTGGGGTGGAACGGGCGGTGCGGTTCTGGAAGGCCGCAGGCGAAGGCTGTGGCCAGGACCAGCGCCGGGGCCAGAGCCAGACAGGGTGGCCCCGGCGTACGCCTCCGCAGAGTTCGCCGGCACGCCGAGTGTGCCCACAGAATTCTTGAGGGTTCCGGAGGAGGAGGAGGAGGAGGAGGAGGAGAAGAAGGAGGAGGAGGAGGAGGAGGAACAGGAACAGGAACAGGAACAGGAGGAGGAACAGGAACAGGAACAGGAACAAGGGGAGGGGGAGGAGGAGGAGGAGGAGGAGGAGGAGGAGGAGGAGGAGGAGGAGGAGGAGGAGGTGGAGGAGGTAGGTGGAGCTAAGCCCATCCAGGAAGGCGAAGAGCTACGACACCAAGCGACTGGCGCCTGGAGGGGCTGCTGGGACGAGCGGGGGAGGCGGAGGAACGGAGGGGGAGCTGAGGATGGAGTGGAGAGGAGATGGGAAAGGGGAGGGGCAGGGACGCCGAAGCACGCGCAGGCTGCAAGCTTCGGGTGTCTGCCTGCTCCCGCTGGGCCGCTCGCCCGTGTTTCCTCTCCTGTCCGCCTCCCCGCCATGGAGGATGATGGCCCTGCTCGCCCCGGCGCCTGGCGAGCGCGTGCTGGACGTGGGCTGCGGCCCCGGCTTTCTGCTGCGTGACCTCGCGGCGGCGGTCGGCGGGCCCCCCCTCTCTCTCTCTCTCTCTCTCTCTCTCTTTTCTTGCTGCTTTCGCCGTGCGAGGTTCGCCGGCCGAGGGCCTGACCTCCCACCACTCTGCCCTCGTGCCCCTGGGCCGGGCTGTGTGGTGCTCGCGGTCCTCTTCTCGCGCGCCTCGCTGCCGCCGCCGCCGCTGCTCTTCCTCCTCGCCTCTCCCCCTTGGCGGGCCCACGCTCGTCGCCCTGATCGGGTTCCCGGGTCTGGGTGCAGGTGCGCTGCCAGGCGCGAGGGAAGCTCTCCGCTGCCTGCGTTCTCTCTGGCCTGGCCCTGTGCGCATCCTTGCGGCCGAGCTTTTCGTCGTCGGAGGGGGAGTATGATCAGGTCAGCGGGTGAAGAGTATGTACATCGGTACACACATATATATATATATATATACACACACATGCAGGGACATGGACCCCACTCACTGGAGTCTCTGAGACAGCATGCTCAATCTCTCGTCCTTGTCACCGTCGTCGTCGTCGTCGTCGTCGTCGTCGTCGTCGTCGTCGTCGTCGTCGTCGTCGTTGTCCTCCTCCCTCCTCCTCCCTCCTCCTCTCCTCCTCCTCCTCATCCTCCTCCTCCTCCTCTCCTCCTCCTCCTCCTCCTCCTCCTCCTCCCTCCTCCTCCTCCTCCTCCTCCTCCTCCTCCTCCCCTCCTCCTCCCCCTCCTCCTCCCCCTCCTCCTCCTCCTCCTCCTCCTCCTCCTTTTCCTGCTCAGGGCCACTTGGGCTACGGTCGCGCCGGCCTGGCCTCGCGCCAGGCCTGGCCTCGCGCCGGGCACCATGGCCGCGGCCGCGCCGAGGGCGGGGCCACCGCCCGCGGAGGCCCTGCTGCAGAGCGAGGGTCCCTGCCTCGCGCTCAGCGCCTGCCTGCGGGAAGCGGCCTGCGGCCGCCTAAGGTGCGCGGCGCGCTGGTGCCCAGAGGAGGGAGATCGGCGGCAAGCGAGGGTCGGGAGCCTTGAGACGGGGGTCCATGCAAACGGGTGTCAGCCAGAGCGCCCGATCTTGCAGGATCCCGCAGGGCCAGGGTCGCATTGAACCGGGTTCGGGCGCAGGATTTTGCAGGATTCTTTGCATTGACCCGGGTTTGGGTGCAGGATCTTGCAGGACTTTGCAGGGCCTGACTGACCCGGGTCTGGATTGACCCGGGTCAGAAGATCCCCGACAAGCGAGGGGGGAAGTGAAAAGGAGGAGGCCTCCTCAGCATGTTCGGGAGTCCCACAGCCTTCTGAAAGATTTCTAAGCCTTCTTCCCCGAAGACAGAGACACTTCTCAGAAGGCGCGAGGGTTTCTGAGAAGTCCCGCCGCCTGCTGAGAAGGCCTTCTCCTTCTCATTTCCCCCCCTCGCCCGCCGCCGAGAGGAGGCACCAATACCTCTACCCTTCCCTCGCTTTTTCCTCTGTTGGGCCTCCCAGGAGGCCCTCGCCGCCACCGCTGGACTCGCCTCGGGATTTTAGGCAGGACGCACCCTCGGGAGAGGTCCGGGGAGTACCGGTAGCGGCACCTTGTGGTTTCCCCAGGTGCCTCTCGCCAGAGGCGGTGCCCGGCACCCGTCGCGCGCTGGCGGCCAGGCGCTCGGTCGGCCGGCTGTTCGCGCTGGTCGAGGTGGCGCTGCGATCGGACGCCAAGGCAGGACTCGTTTCGACTCCTCCGACTCGATTCGATTCGATTTCGATCGATTCCGAATCCGATGCGATTCGACTTCGGATTCCTATTACGACTAGGGTTTCGGTTTCCGTTGATGGAGGCCTTACAAGCCTGCCGATCTCCGCCGACTCAACTTCTCCCGACTTGGCTGCCGATTTCCGCCGATCTGGTCCATCTCGATCGCTTATTCGACTTAGCGATCTGATTCTGGGCTCTCCTGCCGAGGGCAACCACGTCCATTCCGGCCCAGCACCGCGGGTGCGGCTGGAGGACTTGCGGGCCAGGGTGCTGGCTCGCACCGCGGGCGCCGAGGAGCTGGACGACAAGAGGCTCGGCCAGGTCCTCGCCGTGGCCAGGGGCATGATCCAGGTGTTGGAGCCGCAGCAGGGGGAGGTCGTCCTGGCACTGTGCGTCGGTGGCGAGGAGCGGGTGCCGTCCACGACGGAGCTGGCCGCGCGGTGCAGGTGCTTCGAGGCCGCCATGGCCGGCATTACGGAGGAGCTCGCGGTGGGCCAGGTGCCGTGCGTGCCAGTGCCATGCGCTGCTCCCAGCGGCGCCGGCCCGAGGCGGAAGCTCAAGAGGACGTACTCGTGCTCCGAGAAGTGGAGCTTCGCCAGCCCCGTGCAGTGGGAGCTGGTGGGGCCGCGCGCTGCCAAGTACGAATCGGACCGGCAGCAGCTGGAGGTCGCCGAGCTGGCGGAACGTGCGGTGTGTGGCGCGGAGCTGGCCTGCAGCGTCGCGGAGGAGCTCCTCGAGAGCTCGGGAGGCCGCGTCGACGAGGAGCGGCTGTTCAAGGAGCTGCAGAAGCGCGCCAGCTACCTGAGGCTCCAGCCTCGCGCGAGGATCTCGACGCTGGGGAGGCCGCACGACAAGAGGGAGGCCCGCGCGTGGATCTCCACGCTGGTGGCCCTCGTGGAGGCGGAGGGCTCGGAGTGGTTCTCGGTCGTCGATGCCGCCAGGACTACGCCCGCCTCATCCAAGACAGTCCTGCAGCGGGGGGCGGCGAGTGCCGCGACGCACCCCGGGGCCGCGCTGCGCGCGCAGGCCGGCGCCCTCCAGGCCAGGAGTCAGGCGCTCACCCGCCAGGTCTCGGGGGATTCCCAACGATCCCCCCCCCAGAAGCCCCGCCCAAGAGAAATCCGCGAGGCCGCTGGCCCTCAGCCCAGGCACGGAGGCGGCCTGGGCCGAAGGCCACTGCAGTGGAGCATCTGATCAAGAAACCTCCTCCCGGAAAGCTGGGCTGGCGTGTCTTGACCAGCTTGCCAGAAAACTGGCCCAGTTTCTTAGGCATGTTCGCCCCTCCAGGGTTAATAGCAGATCTTGGCCCAGGCCTGTTTAAAGAACTCTCTGGGAAGCTGGCCCATATTTCTCGCACGATCGCCTTCTTGATCATACTGTCGGCTGGGACTTAAGTCTTAATCCCTACGTGGCGCGAACAGGGGGGGTGCTTTTGGCCAGCATCACCTCATGCAGGGCCCATCTCGATCCGATTCGATATCGACTCCTGGTGCCCAGATCCGATCCGCTCCCGATCTTCCGCCGATCCAATGCGGCCCGATGCTGGCATGGCATTGCTGTGTCTCCGCAGCCGATCCAATTCGATTTCGACTCCGTGCAGATCTGGCCTTCTTGGATACCGGATCCGACTCGATCCGCCATCCGATTCGAAGCTCACCGCTTCTGTCCTAGACATCTGGCGTTCTGATTTTTCCACAGCGGGGTCTCCAGAGGTCCTGACCCTCTCCCCGGGCCAGTTTTTCATCCCGAGCCGTTCTTTGACAGCCCCAGGGCTCGGCGAGGGCCCTGGATGCCACTTGAGCGGCCAACACCCCCCCGCCGTTTTTCCCAACCATCCTGTGGTGTTGGGTCCTCGTTTTGAAGAGACGGAGCCCCGCGTTCCTCCTCCTCCTCCTCCTCCTCCTCCTCCTCCTCCTCCTCCTCCTCCTCCTCCTCCTCCTCCTCCTCCTCCCCCTTCTCCCTCCCCGTCCTCCCTCCATCGCCACACCCCTCACGCGTTTCGTGGCCCCATAGGGGGCTCCACCGTAGGCCCAAATGGCTGCTGTCGCGTGCGTCTCCCCCACCCAGGACAGCGCTTCGTGGCCCCATAGGAAGCTCCACCGACGGCGCCAGTGGCTGCTCTCGCATGCGTCTCCCCCATCCAGGACAGCGCTTCGTGGCCTCATAGGGAGCTCCACCGAAGGCGCCAGTGGCTGCTCTCGCATGCGTCTCCCCCACCCAGGACAGCGTTTCGTGGCCCCATCGGGCGCTCAAAGGAAAGCCCCAGTGGCGCAGTTCGCATGCGTCTCCCCCACCCAGGACAGCGTTTCGTGGCCCCATAGGGAGCTCCACCGACGGCGCCAGTGGCTACTCTCGCATGCGTCTCCCCCACCCAGGACAGCGTTTCGTGGCCCCACAGGGAGCTCAAACGAAAGCCCCAGTGGCGCAGTTCGCATGCGTCTCCCCCGCCCAGGACAGCGTTTCGTGGCCCCATAGGGAGCTCCACCGAAGGCGCCAGTGGCTGCTCTCGCATGCGTCTCCCTCACCCAGGACAGCGTTTCGTGGCCCCATAGGGAGCTCATAGGGAGCTCCACCGAAGGCGCCAGTGGCTGCTCTCGCATGCGTCTCCCTCACCCAGGACAGCGTTTCGTGGGCCCATAGGAAGCCCAACCGAAGGCCCGTGTGGCTGCTCTCGCATGCGTCTCCCCCGCCTAGGACACTGTGTCGTGGTCCCATAGGGAGCTCAAACGAAAGCCCCAGTGGCTGCTCTCGCATGCGTCTCCCTCACCCAGGACACGGCTTCGTGGCCCCATAGGGAGCTCCACCGAAGGCCCCAGTGGCGCAGTTCGCACGCGTCTCCCCCACCCAGGCCAACCTTTCGTAGCCCCATAAGGAGCTCCACCGAAGGCGCCAGTGGCGCAGTTCGCATGCGTCTCCCCCACCCAGGACAGCGTTTCGTGGCCCCATAGGGAGCTCCACCGAACGCCCCAGCTGCACTCGCATGCGTCTCCCCCATCCAGGACAGCGTTTCGTGGCCCCACAGGGAGCTCAACCGAAAGCCCCAGTGGCGCAGTTCGCATGCGCCTCCACCCACCCAGGGAAGCGTTTCGTGGCCACTATAGGGAGCTCCACCGAAGGCCCCAGCGGCTGCACTCACATGCGTCTCCCCTCCCCCACCCAGGACAGCCTTTCGTGGCCCATACGGATCTCCACCGATTGCGATACTCACAATGACGGTACTCACAACTGTATATGGTTGGGTCCTTCGCCAGGCCTTTTTTTTGGGGTGTGTGTGTGTGTGTGTGTGTGTGTGTGTGTGTGGTGTTGTTTTTTGTTTTTGCACGACGCGGGCATGTCTGGGGTCACGGCAGCCGTGCCCCCTGCTGCCCCCCAGCTTGACCCCCACCTCCCAGGGACCCCCTCGAGGCTCGACCCAGTCTTTGAGTCGGGCCTGTCCTCCTGCAGGAGGAAAATTCAAAAACAGTCAAGATAGTCTTGGGACGATGTTTTGATGACTTCTTTTGACCATTCTCGGAGCGGTTTTTTCTTATCCTTTCATCTTTGTTCTTCGTCCACAACCCGCCTGTGGGGGGACATGCCCGACCTAAGCCCAGGTCCCGGGACCGCTTTCTCACCCCGGGCTGTTTTTTTGGACGGTCCCGCGGCCCGCGGCGAGGGCCACCAGAGGCCGAAAGCAGTCGGACAACCTCCCGCCGTGAGCTCTGCAAGGCCCGAGGGGGTCTGGGACCATTTGTGGGAGGATGAGGGGGATGAGGGGGATGAGGAGGATGAGGAGGATGAGGAGGAGGAGGAGGAGGAGGAGGAGGAGGAGGAGGAGGAGGAGGTGGAGGAGGAGGAGGAGGAGGAGGAGGAGGGCGGGGCGCCCAAGCCCTTCGGAGAGACCCTCCTGGCCTGGGACCATCTGCGGGGAAAACATAAAAAGTATCGATGCCGCTACTTCCCGGGAATTTCGAAGCGGATCCAGCGGTGGCGACGAGGGCCTCCCAGGAAGGCGAAAACGAGAGAAGGGTAGTGGTATGGGTACCAAGGGCGCCCAACTTCCCAGACATCCAGCTGCTCCATTTTTTTGATGCGTGGGCCCCAGAGGTCTGGACCAGTTCCCAGGGCCGGTTTTGCGTCCCGAGTCGTGTATCGACGGTTCCGACGCCTGGCGAGGGCCCCCAAAGGCCGAAAGCGGCCACGAACCTGCCGCTTCGAGTTTGATCGGGGCGTCGCGCAGAGGCCGAAAGCGGCCACAAACCTGCCGCTCCGATTTTCTTCGGGGCGCCGCGCTTCGCGCCCGAGGGGGCCTGACTCCTGCACGACCCGACGGGGGTCTGGGCTCGGCGCGCCGCCGGCAGGTGCACGGCGCGCTGGTGGGGGCGATACCAACCGAGAGCCCAGGGCCGCCCGGGGCGCGCCGCGGGCCCGCGGAGGAGCGCCCCGGGCCGCCGGCCGCCGCGGCGGCGCCCACGGCGGCGCCCGCAGCGCCGCCCGAGGAAGCGCGGCGCGGGGCGGCCCCGGCGGAGCCACCGCGCAGGCTCGGAGTCCGAGGGGGAAGAGGTACCCGAAGGGCGCGCTCGAGGGCGCGAAGTTGATTCGCGCTTCGCGCTTCGCGGCTCGGTTCCGATGCCTTCTCCTCCTCTTCTCCCCCTGGGGGGCGGCGCGAGAGCGCGAAGTCCTTCGCACTCTTCGCGCTTCGCGCAGCGCGGAGCGCGAAGTTGGGCGCCCGTGGCACCCATACTGCTGCCCTTCCTGGGAGGCCCTCGCCGCCGCCGCTGGATTCGCCTTCAAATTCCGGTCAGAACACAGCCCCATGGAGAGGTCCAGGGAGTAGCGGCATCGATATTTCTTGTTTTCCCAACAGATGGTCCCAGACCTGGAGGGTCTCTCCGAAGGGCTTAGGCGACCCCTCCTCCTCCTCCTCCTCCTCCTCCTCCTCCTCCCCTCCTCCTCCCTCCTCCTCCTCCTCCTCCTCCTTCCCTCCTCCTCCTCCTCCTCCTCCTCCTCCCCTCCTCCCTCCCTCCTCCTCCTCCATCCTACCTCCTCCTCCTCCTCCTCCCCTCTCCTTCCTCCTCCTCCTCCTCTACCTCCTCCTCTTCCTCCTACCTCCCCCTCCTCCACCTTCTCTTCTCCTCCTTCCTCATACCTCCTTCCCCTCCCCTTCCCTCCTCCCTCTCCTCCCCCTCCTCCTCCTCCCCCTCCTCCTCCTCCTCCTCCTCCCTCCTCCTCTCCTCCTCCTCCTCCTCCTCCTCCTCCTCCTCCTCCTCCTCCTCCTCGGGTCGCCTACGACCTCGGGGGGAACCGTGCATCCCAGACCCCGTCACTGGAGGTTGTTTGTCAATTTTTGGCTTTGGGGGCCGTCACCGCGGGCCTCGGCAACGTCAACAGAAACGACTCAGGTTGGGAGACCGGTCCCGGGGAATGCATGGGTCGAGACCTCTGGGGTCGACGCTGTCAAAAATTCATCGCGTCGGGGCTCTGGGATGGTCGGGTGTTGCTAGAAGTTGGTCGGGTGTTGCTAGAAGGTGCCCCCGGGATTTCCAAGGAGCCCCCCCCCACCACTGCCTCCAGAGCAACCCTCACGAGGCCCAGAGGGCCTCAGGGGCTCCAGCATTGAGCGAAAAGCTGGGGGCACCTTTGGGCCAGGGGCACCTTTAGCAACCCCAGAGATGGGGTCGGAGTAGGTGGGGTCGGATAATCGCGCCGCATCGCCGATGCATCGGCGATGCGGCTCGATG